AATTAGTTAGGCCTATTGTTAGACCGTATAGATAGTAGACAAAATGGGCATTAGACATTTTGGATTCCATCTTGGATTTCCATGTTTCTCAGTGGCCGTAACACAGAGTAATTAGAACATGTAGAACCAAACGCACCCTTATAAGATGGATATATCATGATTTATGGCTATTATAAGGTATTGGCGGCTATCTTGGACGCCATTTTGAAAATTACCACTTTCCTTGGATTCTTTGAAAATTATTATGTTTTTCCTGATGTCAACCCCTGCTAAAATTCATTGAAAAACCTGTTGATGTATTTTTTTATTTTTTTTTATTTATTTATTTATTTATTTATTTTATTTTTATTTAATTTTTTTTTTTTTTTTTTTTGTTTTTTTTTGTTGGGGGGGGGGGGGGTGGGGGGGTCAGACACTATTTTTACTCGACTACTCATACATTCCGCACTTTACGCATGTTTATTGATGATAATCCAATATTATGGATGCATTAAATTGATTTGGTTGATTTTATTTTAGTATTTACTTTACCTCTTGCTCTGTCCATCCATCCCATAAACCAGGTCTTAGTATCGCGTTCTTCAAGAGTTGGGAGTTAACCCTGGAATATACTTCTCTCCATAACACCCCTCATAGCCCTCACAGGGGGCTTCACGACATACGAGAGTCTCTCGGTCTCTCTAGCTCTTCAGTGTACGTTGTGAGGGGGGCGGGGGTGGAGGGTCCTAAAAGCTTTCTTATATCAATGAAGGCCATATTGACCTTACGATGTAATGGGAAATTGTATGAAAAATAAGTGATTCTTAAACAATTTCTGCAAAACATAAATTAGTTGATAAATAAATGTTCAATCAATGCAAATTCCCTCCCCCTCTATCCCTCTCTACAAGATATAAATACAATTCAATTACTTGTTGTCTATTAATTTGTGGCATCTTTTTTTAGAATATTGATTATTTTTTCTCCTTTCTCTTCTATCACTTCTCCCTGTCTGTCTTTTTCTTTGTTTCTTTTCTTCTATTGCTTCTTCTCCCCCTCCCCTCTCTCTTTCTCTGTCTCTCTCTGTCTCTCTCTCCGTCCTTTCCCCACTCTCTCTCCCTCTCTCTCAATATATCTCCCACCCTCTCTCTCCCTCTCCCTCTCACTCACTCTCACTCAAATCAATATTACTGGACCTGCACTTGACAATAAAGAGACACTGTCATATGTAATATACAAGAAGAATATCATACTGGCAAAGGTTTTTCTTTTACCACAACATAATTACGAATGAAAAACGATCAGAATTTATACCTTACAATTTGTTTTGAAGAGACCTACATTGGAGTGAAGGATAAATATATACAAACCTGACAGAGTTCTCATTAGATTGTCGTCTGATCTTTTAATGACGTATGATCTACATGAGGAGAAACAGAACAGGATCTGGATGATGATATCCTCATTATTTCATGGTGCATGTTGTATTGGTGGCGCTAGACCAAAGGACCCATATGAAATTTGGCAGCCCTAATCACTGCAGATTCTCTTTTAATCATTTGACGAAAGAGTACATATCTAGAATATTCAACATGATAATTTGAACAAGTATAAAACTCCATTTTCTTTCTTAACCGTCATATACGAGAAATAGTTGGCCTCTGCATTTATCTTCATTATTTTACTTACCTCCATACTTTCAAGTTTTCAATTATATATATATACACATTTGTATATGTGTGTATTTAAGTTGCCACTCTTTATGTAAATCAATTATATTATATATTATATACCTCACTTAAGAAATCCAGCCATCTGATTGGTCGAAATTGCAGTCATTGTTTTAACTATTCCTGTAAAATTCCCGGTAAAATTCCAGTTACCGGGAAAATAGTTCAGTCTTGGTGAAATACCCATAGATTCACATGTTAAAAACAGGTTTGAGCGATCGAGGAAACCGTACGTGTTCGAAAAATTGGTTGGTATTTTTAATACGGCAATCTCGATCGTATATGTAATCACAATATAGGGGTATATTCCAATGTCTACTAGACTGTATGGTAGAGCCGACGTGGATAAGTGGATACGTCGCCGGACTGTCGATCACATGGTCCGTGGTTCGAGTTCCGCCGCGGCACTAATGTCCTTGATCTACACTTGCCACTCTCCACCTAGGTGTTAAATGGGTATCCGGTAATGAAGGAATTCCTGAAATTGATGTGAGCGCCGAAATCGGAAGCCTAGCATAGCCGGGTAATGTTGGAGCGCCATGAGGACCTTGCAAGGTCGCTAAGCGCGCTTTATAAGAATATTATTATCATTATTATATTTTCGGTTTGAGATTTCCCTTTGAAGGTGTCCTTTTTTCCAGAAAGTGCCCTTTTTGGTTGGTGCCCCTCCACTTTCGAAGTCGCTCCGCCGCCTCTGGCTTCAGCCCAAACTTGGTACAAGAGGATTTTGACAATAGTTTTTTGAAAGGCCTGCTGCTCAGTCATCCGTGGCAGCACAATTATGAATATGGTATCCGATTAGACAGGGTATGAGTTAGACAGGGTATGATGATAAATCACGTCTTTTTCAGAGATCATGCACAAACAAACCTGCATGCCCGTCAACTGGGCCGTCAACCCATGTGGGTTAGGCGGCAGGTTATAATCAACAATAAAGTACAGTACAATAACAATAACAATACAAATTACAATGTAATAATATATGTGTTCACAAGGAGCACCGGGATAGAGAGAAAGAGAAAGGGAAGGGGTGAAAAGGAGAAAAGGAGAGAAAAAACAGAAGTGGTATAGTACAAAACAGGATAAAAGAAGAAGATTGTAACATTATGATGAATGCGCATGTGTATTCGTCTTTTGCCATTTGGTAGGACGAAATTACATTGCCGCCGGTTGGACTTTGAACCGTACGTTTGAACCGTACGTGCGGGGAATACCCACACACTTGATCAGTGAATCAAAAACATTTTTCGAAGCTTGCTGCAACTTAGATCGCCGTTTCTTTAAATCTCATTTAAAAGAATAACTCAACCAGACGTATAGCGGATTCTACTGCTAGTGACTGACCAATTACTGGAGAACCTCTTTGGCCTACTGTTCGCGTTACTAATATTCCTTGATTTAGAGAACAACGCAGCAGGTTGACGGAAATATTAGTACAACCTACATGATATTCAGACAGGCGACTCACGAGGACACATTCAAATAGCGAATATATATAGAACTCTAATCGTGTCATGTCGTTACAGTACTGTGCATTTATGTCGATTGTGCTCCGTTGCTTCGATCTGATCAATATTATGGAAGAGAACGATAGAAGTGCCAGTTCCTGATAAAAGCTAGGATTACTCCAGTAAGCCTATTATTTTACAATCATTATACTGACAAAAAAGCATAATATGCTATAAAATACACTCAAACAAATATTTTTAACAGGGTTTGGAGGGAAGGGTTGTCAAAAATGAGGCAAACTGTTATAGGCTCTTGGAGCCAGCGCACACCCCAAATTGACCTTCATTCTGTCACACACGCACTGGTCGATTCTTTCACACTCAATGGCTAGTATGCAAACAAATTGCGTGTAAATGACTAAGGCACAGTCGATGCGAAAGTGACAGTGGGGGGGGGGGGATATTTTGTTCGTACCTGCATGCCAACCTAATGGCAAAAGAATTGTAAATAAGCTTTAAAATGATTAGTTATTTATTTTGACTGAATATGACAATTAGAAAAATGGTCAAAACATATTTAACTAGGATCATGGGGGACCAACAGGCACCGATTTGGGAAGTTTTCTATATAGAGGGAGCAAGTAGCTACAAGTAGGACAGTGGGCCTTTAATGAAGGAAAAAATACCTTGATGTCACTCAAGGGGCATTATACTTTTTGAGGAGCAAAATATGTTCAGATGACCTCTAATGCCTTTAATGCTGAATAATTACAACATGCATTATTTTACGATAATTTGATATTAGTTGTTTAGTCAATATTAGAATCATTAATATTTTTTGATATGAAGATTGCTAAAAGAATTGATTTCGCGTTCTTGTATGTATATATATATAAATTGTATTGTATCGTTTAACTTAATTTATTGTATGAGTCTCTGGACTTTTTATTCAGCATGTATTTCTTTCGTTTTTGTTTAACCATAAGCCAGAATCGATTTGAATTGAATATCTTATGAGTAAACCTTTGTGACCGTAGCATAAGGCAGAAGTCTTGCAATACGCCAGCGCGTGGACTATTTTAAACCCTAGCCTGTTCTTTCTGTTGCTCTCTCACCTCTCTCTCCCCTTTTCTAGTTCGCAGCCTCGACCAGGGGCGGATCCAGTCGGTGGCAAGGGAGGGGGCCAAATAGGGGGCCCAATTCGTGAGAAAATGTAGCGGCGAGTCAACCAGCCGGCGAATAAGCGGGGGGGGGGGGGGGGGGGGGGGGGAGGGGGTAGTGAGCACTATTTGTTTAGATCAACATGTAGGTCTAATTAAAATTATTGAAAAGTTTGTTGAAATACTTTTAAATGCATTTTCCCCTAACAAATACCCGTGCATTACAGCCTAGATAATAATATCCCTTACGAATAGACCTTGCTCATTTTTTTTTCTTCTCATGATCCTGCATGGGCAACATAAAACCAAGGTGGACAAAAATATGTTGACAAAATAATTTCATATTGAGAGATGCAAAATACAACGTTTTTTTTTTTCTCGTTTTTTTTGTTCTGGAATCTAGAATGGTGTGACATGCTGGATGCTGGGTACCCGACAATCACTTCTAACCACCTGTCCCATGACAATTTAAAATGAATGCCAGAATCTGTGCCTGCTTTAGTCGATGAAACTTGACATGAATTCACCAACCTGCTGTTCGAGATCCAAAATATATCCTTCAACAAACTTGGAGTCGAACTTTCCGAAAAGGAGCCTGAAACACTGAAAGCAAACAGGAAACTCTCAGAACGCCAGAAAAAAGGAACTGGAGAAATTGCGGACCGAATTGGTCAATTCTAAAGATGCAGAGAGTCGACGGGCACAGAGGAATGCAGTACTCTGCGCTAGAAACGACACTGTTACTGCGACGCAGAAGAGACATGCTGTTGAGACTTGAGACTGCAGCAAAACTCACAGCAACGGAAACAAAACTTGGTTCGACCGAAGCTGCACTTGCTGCCAAACAAAGAGCTCTCGAGGATGCCCAAGCCAAACTGGAAAGACATGATAAAGATACTCCCTGCAGTATTTGTCTAGAAAAAAATATGGATACACCCTCGATACGTAATGTGTATCTATGTGCAATGTTTATGTTGCCATTGCAGTACATGTATATGTTTTCTTATCCAACCTTGAGCGGTATTTTGTTTTTCTTGGTTGAGTTTCTTTGGTCAGTTTTCCTCCTAAAGCAACTATACTGTACAGGGGTTGAACTCAGAGAAAGTAAACACAAGCTCGTTGAAAGGCAGAGTTTGCTTCCAAAAGAAACGGAGACAATGATTCTACTTGGGCTCAGGGCACAGATCGCAGATTTGAAAGGTAAGTTACAAACCGAATGTGATAGTCATCAGAAGACTAAACTAGAACTCCAGCTGTCGGATGCCAGACTCTGTAGAACTAATGCTTTAGTCGATGAAACTCGACGTGAATTCACCAACCAGCTGTTTGAGATCCAAAAATCCTTCAACAAACTTGGAGTCGAACTTTCCGAAAAGGAGATTGAAACCCTGAAAACAAACAGGAAACTCTCAGAAACCCAGAAAGAACTGGAGAAATTGCGGACCGAATTGGTCAATTCGAAAGATGCAGAGAGTCGACTGGCAGAGATTAATGCAGAGCTCTACGCAATAAATGACAATATTACTGCGACGCAGAAGAGACTTGCTGATGAGACTGCAGCAAAACTCACAGCAACGGAAACAAAACTTGGTACGACCGAATCTGCACTTACTGCAAAAGAAAGAGCCCTTGAAGATGCCCAAACCAAGCTGGAAAATCGGGAAACAGATAATTCTTGCAGTATTTGTCTTGATTCCGATAGGGACACTGCTATGCTGCCTTGCGGACATGCAAGCACATGTTACACTTGCTCTCTGCAACTCCACGAAAGAGACAATGCGAAGTGCCCAGTTTGTCGTCAATTGATTGACCAAATTCTCAAAATTTATTTATGAACTCGAAAAAGAAACCTCTTACATGATTCAATCAAACACGAATTGGCAATTCTGTGACGTATCTTGGATGTTCCCTCCTATTTGCTCTGTACATAGAAATAACAGAAATTTCTATTCTCCCTAAAGAATTTCAAAATAACTATTGCAAAGATGTTTCTATACAACCCCTGTGTGATACAAAATCTATTCCGTCATCAGTAACTATTAATAAAATAAAATAAAATTTTATTCAACTTTCAGACAAAGCAAATTTTAAAGAACCTCGTGAAATACGTCACAGTGTTGCCAATTCATGTTTCACCGATAACTTGAAAATTCTTAACTTTATTATTTGATCGTATTTTGCTCAAACTTTTATTGACCCATTCCTCTCGTTTGTTCTTCTATTAATCCCAATTTAATATCAGGGTGGACTTCCCCTTTGAATAACACTTTACAAACTTGTAGTAACAGGTTAACTGATATATTTTATAGATGACGATCCCTCATTGTAATGAGAAAATAGAAGCTGGACAAAACTAGTTCAACATTAAAACATATTGATCATGGATTATGAATTCATGTTTCTAGTTTCAAGTTTATTTGTTACCCCTTTTTTCAGAAAATATAGACATACATATAAAATATAAATTATGTATATCTATAAAGTACAGGAAATATATTATGAGCACGTCTCAGTGATTCTCAATTCATATGATAGATTTAGTAGAATGAGAGAAACCTTATAAAAAGCAGTGTTGTATATTTTATAGGTGAAACATAAAGTGGAAAAGACGTTATTTTTCATATCTGATGCCTAAATTTTGCAGTTTTTAGATGTTGTTTATCAACTGTTGTTTATGTTTACATAGTTTTCACTCTGCTCTTTCACAATGCAAGATAAAATAATACAGCCTAATTTGATTTTGATAAATATAGTACGTTAGTACAATTTATTCAAACAAATTATACAGCCACAAATATAAACATTCTACATATATTGCAAATTAATTTCAAACAAACCATGCATGTACAGTCGTACATAAAACATTTCAATGCAATGAATATAAAAAATGATTTCTTACGTAGAAAAAAGGGGAAAACAGTTGTGTCATTCCTCTAATTGCATAATAAAAATTAATTGAGTTATAAACACTGAACGGGGAATATGTAGTAGTACTGTAGTATAGTATTAATGACTGCTTTGAGAGAAATAGTTGTTTTTATACGCTCAAGGGAAGGTTAAAATTGTGCTATTGCCCCGAGGCGTGCCGAGGGCAATAGCCCAATTGTAACCTTCCCGAGAGCGTATAAAACAACTATTTCTCGAATATTAAAGCAGTCATTAATACTTTTATATGCCGAAAACAAAAGAGTCAACTAATGACACCACCTTGGCCTTTCTCTAGTTTATCTGCACGGTTGTTTCTTATGAGTGTATCTTTGAGAGTAGACTAGATCTAGATTCTAGTCTAAGCAAGATATTTTTACAATTTTAGGGGTGGGCCGGCCCTGTGGGGAATAGAGAGAAGAACCTGCGCTTTCATATGACACCTCACTTATTGAGTATCACCTTCAGGATCACAACAGATAAAGGTTTGAATCTCGAATTGAAAAAAAAACTTGATTTTTTTTTTTGCATGGTCGCGCAATGCACGTAGACTGCATAGAGACTGCATTGCGTGTAATCTCTATGGGAAGAATACAGCACACAACATCGGGTGCGCGATCAGACACCCTGACAACTAGATCTATTTTCGTCTACGTCTATGCTGGTACTCCATTTTCAGCAACTAAAGCGAACATGTTTATGGATAATTTCACGTACCTTTTTTGTTGTTCTTGCTGTCAGCGAGTCTTGCATTTGATATTAAGTTGAAATCTTGGGACAGTTTCTTTAGCCATTTTTGTCTTGTTTGGAATTGTCTCGTCTTGTATGAAAATACCGACCAATTCTTCGCACACGTACGGTATCCTCGATCGCTCAAACCATTTTTTAACATGTAAACCTATGAGTTAACCATGGAGACTGAACTATTTTCCCGGTAACCATGGTTACTGGGATTTTAGAACTGTTTTAACCATGGTTACTGGGAATTTTACAGAAATAGTTTAAGTTTATGAATGCAATTTCGACCAATCAGATGGCTGGATTTCTTAAGTGAGGTATATAATAAAGAATATGACAAATTGAATATGAGACAATGAAATAATTCGTCAGCCAATAATATATTCTTAGAAGCCACTATTTGTTTGAAAGAACATGGGATAATGTAACAAAATAAAAATGTAACATAAAAAAGAGAAATTTGTAATAACTCAATCACAAACAATGGTGCCACAAAACAGGTGCCACAATTTCTATAGACGCTACTGTCACCACTGGTGTTACTAGCTGTAAACGATTTTGAGAGAAATGCCTCTGAGTCAGTGAAAGTACATTTCCGTTAAAAAAATAAAAAAATAAAATAAAAATGTTTTAAACAAGAAATACATTCAAAACAATATAAACACTTTTTTATAACGTCATATTCTCTTGTTTTTAACCCACAAGAACATAACAATAATAAAAACCTGAATTAAATCACATATACAATTCCATTCAAAGAAAAGGAAAGTTCACAGGAATTAAATTTCATAAACATTGATGGGGGGGGGGGTGTATTTCTTATTCGATACCAGTGATTTACAAATGTTGCTGTTATGACATAATTTTCCGGTATTTTTTACATTTTTTGGTAAGTCATACCTTTTTATGCGTTTGTTGGAAAATAAGAAATTCCCAAATAATAGTCGGGCGAAAAATACGCTTATTTAGAAGCCTTTATGTCATGGTCTGCAGAGTTGCTGGGCTCGACGCCCCCCCCCCCCCCCCCTCTCACTTTTTGAAAAAGTATGTTAAAGAGAAAAAGAAAGAAAAAGGGAGAAAAAAATGTGACCTGCCAATGTCACAAATAAGGTATAAAAAATGCTCATTTGACCGTAATTAAATGCCTAAAAACCCCGAGCTTCCAGGGGTTATGCCCCTTGACTCCACCAAGGGCCTAAGCCGGGCCCCTGGATGCTCATCTGACCGTAATTAAATACCTAAACCCCTGAGCTTCCGGGGGCTCTGCCCCCTGGAACCCACCAAGGGCCCTAAGGCGGACCCCTGAATGCTCATCTGACCCTTATTACATACCTAAAACCCCTGAGCGTCCGGGGGCTTTGCCCCCTGGACCCCACCAAGGGCCCTAAGGCGGACCCCTGAATGCTCATCTGACCCTTATTGAATACCTAAAACCCCTGAGCGTCCGGGGGCTCTGCCCCCTGTACCCCACCAAGGTTCCTAAGGCGGGCCCTGGATGCTCATCTGACCGTAATTAAATACCTAAAACCCCTGAACTTCCGGGGGCTCTGCCCTCTGGACCCCACCAAGGGCCCTAAGGCGGTCCCTGGATGCTCATCCGACCGTAGTTAAATATTAAAACCTCTGAGCTTCTGGGGGCTCTCCCCTCCCTGGAACATGTCAATGGCCTTAAAGAGCTAGGCCCCTGGATGCTCATTTAACCGTAAGTAAATGCCTAAAAAAAAACCTGAGCTTCCGGGGGCTTAGCCTCTTGACCCCATGCCGAGGCTCATGCCCTGGACCCCACGTCAATTTACACTCTACCTGATCGCTACTCCACTTTGAAAAATGTTCCGCGGGACCTGCATGTAACGTGTAAGACTGGTGGTGATGCAGATTTTTCGTCTGCCCCCACCCCCTTCCGAACGTTTTTTTTTCATTACGTCACTGCCCCTGGAAGGTGAGCCCCCTGGAATGTTCCCCCCCCCCCAATCCCAAACTGCTTCCGGCGCGCCTGCTCCAGAGTGGGAACAAGGATTACAAAATTTACTACAAATTAGCTAATATGTACTGAATTTGATCATAACATTCTTGTTGGCATTGATTAATTTAATTCACATTCTTATTTTGTTAACCATAGAATTGGAAAAAGGAAATAATTGGTGCCAATTTGTAGAAGAAAAGATGATTTTAAAGACGTTAAAACAACTCATGTAAACTGCCGTGGGTTAAGAGTTAAAACATCCAACCTGTTTTTATCATCACTAACCTTGCCGATCCTTCATCTGCCCTGGCATCCGGAGAAGAACCTGATGCGTCACCACCTATTGTTGAAATAATTTGATTCGATTTGATTTGATTAAGTTTGAATTTATCAGGGTGGCCCTATTGGTAACTGTGGTACCAAGTTTTTCCTAAGGGCAGAGGGGGCCCTGCCCGGCAGAAATGACAACACACATTCAATTGACAACTACATGATACATATAATTATCAAATATATACTTGTAACATCAGTAATAAGGTAGAGGTTGAGATATCATTTCATTGTTTGAAGAGTAGAACATCACCTCAGAACTTCATGTGCCAAACATTTTTTTCATATTTACCACTACTAATCGCAAGTTTTTTGTTTTCCTCCTTTAATATCAATCACCTGCATAAATTTATATCACCCCTTTGATAGCTTCCCAGAGTCTGGTTTTGAAGGTTTGAACTGAGTTGCAGGCAAAGATGCTTGGGGAGTATAATAAAAATAGGCGGCAGGATAATCAACAATATATACAAGTAGTAGGCTACAGTAAAATAACAATACAAATTACGATGTTTTAATATACCTGTTAACAAGGAGCACCGGAATAGAGAAAGGGAAAGGGAAGGGGTGAAAAGGAGAAAAGGAGAGAAAAAACAGAAGTGGTATAGTACAGAACAGGAAAAAAGAAGATTGTAACATAATGATGAATGCGCACTGTATTATATACCGCTTTTTGCCATTTTGGTAGGACGAAATTACATTGCCGCCGGGTTGGACTTTGAACCGTACGTGCGAGGAATACCCACACACGTTATTGATCAATGAATGAAAAACATTTTTCGAAGCTTGCTGCAAACAGATCGCCTTTTCATTAAAACTCATTTAAAAGAATATCTCAACCCGACGATAGCGGATTCTACGTAGTGAAAGTGACTGGCCAATAGGGCGACCCTCTTTTGCCTATACTAGTACTGTTCGCGTAAATAATATTCCTATTAGAGAACAACACTGAATATTCACGAACTTATAAGTACAGCCTACATG